GTAATGTATTTACGTCATACTAAATTAAACTCTAATATGCGTAAAACGTAAGTAAAACATGCATAAACATAACTAATTTTTTAATTAACACATATGCGTAAACATAACTAATTTTTTAGGTCGAGTATACCCTAAATGTAGTAACTCTTTTTCATAATCATCTTTTTAAATATATGTAAATAGTAACCCACCGATAACATACGTAAATTTCTACATTTACGAAAGAATTCTTTTTGCGTTAAAATATCAGTTTAGTCATTATCGAAATATTAAATAAAAATGAGAATACATGCTAAAGACTTACACATCTATCTGATTAAAAATTACTTAATGCTAATAATAGATTTCATAACACATTAAAACGAAACAAATTTCACTTCTTTCATTTTTGATTTCAATTAGCGTTGATAATGAGAAGTAGTAGAATTTGTAAGCTTTTGCAATGACTATTATGAAAGCATTAATTATGGAACATCAGCATTATTATTTAATGTCAATTACTCAAAAAATAATTTAAATATTTTTAAAAGTAGTATTTATATATTTTGTAATAATAGCATGTATTCTTACATTTTAAAAGTATATGCTCTGATACTAATTTATGTTTATGCAGAATTTCATGGTTTATTTTATATAGTAAAATTTAGCAGTCTAAATTAGTATATAATAATATATAATATTTTATATAGTAGTCCAAATAATTAGCTGAAACGTGCATAAATTAGGTCACAAATTAAGTGAATAATAAACCAAGTAATGATTCAAATTATTATTTTTGGTAGGAATAATATGAATCAACTTACATGATTTTTTTTCCTATATAGTTTGGTTCGATAATCCTCTGTTACTTTTCATCCATTTATTTGCTTTCTGGTCAGCTTTTCTTGCCGATACAAGGGTTGCATTCCTATTCAAGTGCCGAACCCTTATAAATGTTCGTAAACGGCAAAATAAACAAATTGCACTCTTATTCACGGAGGGAAAACGTTTCTCAAGTTCAGAAATAAGATTCTGAATTACACCTCTACCTTTTCAGAAAGAACTGCCATGAAAAGAACGGAAAACATTTTCTATTTTCATCATCGTTTCCATCCAAACTGGTGATGGTACAGTTAATTCCTCCTTTAGATAATAAAAATATCCAATTTGAGTCGTTAGGAATATCTACGAATTTTTTTGATATTTCACCCAAAGTAGGATCTTTATCTTTCACACGATATGCAATATAACCTGCCACATAAGCGAGCGATTCTTGTTCATATGCAGATATATCTTTCGTTGAATCATAAATTTCGGTTTCCCAAGGAAGTGACGTACATTCATCATAGATGTCTTCGTAATTAATTAAATCATCTTCGTATAAGGAAGACTCAAACATTTGTGCTTTTTCATTTGAAGAAAAAGCTGTTTCTAACAGCTCTTTTGTCAAATATGCTTCAACTTTCTTCACATCTTCACAGTTATTAGCATTTGTCTTTAACGACAATTTAGGCAATTTTTTGCCAATAGCAACCTTTTCAGGCGAATTATTACGTCTGATGGAGACGGATGGTCATTCAAAAACCCTAGACCCCGAATCTGGCTAAACAAGCTTTCTAATACATCTTGAGTCAGTCTTAAAATATCTTAAAATATATTTCACATTTATAGATTTTATGTCATCAAATAAACCGAAAAGCGAATTTATCGATATGATAATACCTTTCTGGAGGTAGCATTGTCTTCTTTCCGCATACTCTGAGATCAAAAATCATTTGCTTGATTCTCATTTAATTTCTCTTTTTGTACTTCATAATAGCTTTCTAGGCCAGAAAGCAGCTTTTAAAGGCTTATTGCTAGGGGTAATGGTACACTACTATTCATAATGTCAAAAAATACCATCAACCATTGAAAAAACAATTACTTGTTGCAGCATTACCAGTCAAATGCATAATTGCTTTAGCCGTTGTGGAGGAAAATAATGCTTTTGCTGGTGCTACTTTCTGTCTCTCGTTCCCTTTTACAGATAAAAATTGAGGTTTCAGTTTATAGCACAGTTTAATTTCTCCGATATCTTTATTGAGTACTTCATATATAACGTCTTTGTTTATAATTGTACCATTTCCGAGAATAAAACCTTTATCAAGAAAATGGTTTCTCAAAAGCTTTATGCAATGCGGCATATCAGCGAAAACCCATATTTTGGTGCTGAACTTGGGACTGTAAAAGAAAGATTTTTAACTGTTGAAATTTGTAATTCTTTCCAAAGGGTCTGACTACCTCCCATGTCAGATACACTTGCTTTGACTCGAAGCCCAGACGATTCAAGTGCAAACAAAATGGAAGACAGAAGATTTTCCTTCATTTGACGATCAAAATCAAAATAAATGGGTCTGTTTCCATTGCAAAATGAGTCCTCGAACCAATACAAATTGAGTCTTTTTAAAAGGACCTAATATCTGATCTAATTTTGAATCATAACAGAATCTTGAATCTATATGAATTTCATCGAAACTTAATACGCATAATCTTTCTTCGTCAGTTGCATTTTGGCAAATTTTTTTATCAATAACAGTACATAATTTAAAATGCCAGGAATGCAATTGAACCTTGAGCACCATCTTTTCAGTGTACTTGCACTTGAAAGCGGAATACCCATTTTTTCTTTCTAGAAGTCATATGACTTTAAGGATAATGACCTGATTGCTATGCTTTTTGAAATGTCGTCTGGAGACCATTTAATTCGCTTATTTTTCATTAATGCATTTAGTTTTGAGTTTCGTTTTTATTTTTCTGTAAATATGTTTTGAACATATGTTTTTCATTTTTCTTAGTTTTTCATTTTCTTGATTCACTTTTTAAATTTCTTTCCTCAGTTTTCTGAACTTTTTCTAATATATTAGTTTTCTGTACCTTTTAAATCTTTTTCTTATGCTGGAAGATAGTTTTTAAATGCTGCTTTCTCTCAGTCTGTAAACCAGAAAATTTTCATGAGCTGATTTTGTGATTAAATCATTCACGTTTTTCTGGAGGTTGGAACAGTTGCAACATTGCTGAGTAATATTTTCAGTGAGCTTCTCATAGCTATTATTGTTATAGTTTTGAAATTCCAGGCATGCCTTTTTAGAACTTAAATTCTTTCTTTCAAATGCACTTTGTAAATTTTTTCTTTTTTGTTGGCTTTGCTGCCTTGGTGTATTCTGATAAATAACCAAGTCAGGAATACAAACAGTTGGAATAGCAGTTGACTTCAGTAACTTTTTTGTCAGCAATCCCAGAAACCTATTGTTCATATCATCCTCATAATCAGATTCAGTGAAGTGATTGCTGCATGTTCGAGCACTCTTTGTGTTGACAATATTCGCTCTTCGACAACTATGCAACCATTGTTTTGTTAACTGAATATTTTTGTACGAAAATCTATGAAATACCACGTTAGTTTCTTTCGTATTATGATATATATTACTACAGGTAGCAACGGCACACAATATCATTTTTTCAATGATTTCTCATTACAAGAACTTTCTAAATACAAAATCCCTTTAAAAGTATCATCAGTTATAACTTTCAAGTAAAAAAAAAAAAAAAATAAAAGTAAAATAAAAAAAAAAAAAATAAATAAAAAACCACCTCTTTCTCTGAAACTAACAGGGCTAAAGAAAGAGAATCTAAGAACTAAAGATTCAATCTTTCGCACTTGATGCTCTGGTCAGTCGACGACGGGACGAACCCAGTGACGTCACATAACATTGGGTATGCTCCCCAAGAGGGTTCGTGTCGGCATCGTTATTCTCAAACAGATGACCCAGCCCTTCTCTTTCTTTAGCCCTGATTATCTTTAGGAAACATGTTTTGTCTTTTCTTTGTCTTCAAGAACAAAGTAAATTCTTCAAGAACAAAGAACACTCTTTGCGAGTAGAACTCGCAAAGCCTTTGTGTCACTAAAAATTTATCCAGTGTGGTGTGTATTTATCATATAATCTGGTATATAACACATATTTTTAATAAAAATAATAGGATCGAAATTTAGGGTGCACATTGTATGCCAGATAGAAAAATGATGTAAAAATATATTTAGGGGTACCCCTCGACAATTTTTTGGCGACATTCCTGTTTATGTCCAACATACACGCCAGTAAAATGGCTTCCAAAACATAATGCAATAAAACATAATTAAAACAAAAAGTATATAAAACTGCATTTTAAATCAACAAAGAAATAACATAAGAATGGGAACATAAGTTATCTAATCTATGCAATACAAAAAGGAAATATCGACTTACCTTATTTAAAAATTTGTTTCTTTGGTATGTGATCCAAACTAGAATCTGTATATTGCCGTCGCCAGCATAAATCTGCAGAATTAAAAAAGAAAAATATCCTCTGTACTGCCAGATTGTCGATGGCATTTCTTTCGAAAATCCTCTGTACAGATTCAAATGGATCTTTTGCCACACCCACCATATAGCCCCAATTTCGACTTTTCGGACTTTTACTTTTTTCACACCTGCAGACACATCTGTCTGATTCTGTCTTCCATTTTGCGTAAGACGTCTGAAATGAGGTTGATCTGTTTTTGGACTTGCAGCCACCAAGTTTCTGGGCCGAAAGCTTTGAAAAACTACGAAAATGTTGGCAGTAAATCGTACATTTAGGTGGTAATTACTACCCAGAGTAAAGGTACTTCTTTCATGTTTTGTTAAACTTTCGTTACAACCAGATATATGCAATATTGTATTATCCAGCCTTTCATGATTTTTTAATGGTAATTTTAATCAGTTTCTTGTTTTTCTCTTAAAAAAGAGACTCGTAAGTATATCTAAAAATATTAACTTAGCCGGTATTGAATTAAAAAAAAAGTACTGGAAAATCTGAGTATAGCATCTCAGTAAAGGAAATAAAGCAGGGCAAAAAAAAAAAAAAAAAAAAAAAAAAAAAAAAATACTTACCTTCTTATGTCTATTTGTATTAAGAATTCATTATTTCTTTTTCAAACTTAGTTTTTTCTTTATTTTTTTCAGGTTTACACAGTTAATCAGGAATCAATATATCTTTTAATTACCAATGTTCCTGCATTAGGAGGTGCTGAAGAATTACGTGCTCTTTGTGATCAGTATGGTATTATTGATGATTTTAAACCACTTGATGATTATCCATGTGAAGAGTTTACTGAAGTTTATTTAGCTAAGTACAAATCTTTTCCATCTGCAAGGTAAACTTGGCTTATTGTTATGAAATTGAGAATAATTTTATACATGGTAATCATGTTTACTTAGTCTTCAACATTAGTATGAGATCAGAGCTGTTTACTGTACCTTCAGTTGTTATTTGTGTTAGATTAAGTAGTCAATTTTTCCAATTTTCTTCCCTTAACAGTTCCTATCCAGTTTTTCAAGACTAAAGAAATTACCATTGTACTTGTACTGCCTTGAGATGGTCAGATTATTGGTTTATTGAAAAAAGTGCTTGATGTTGAAGAAATATTTTTGTAACTTTTCTGGATCTATTGATTCTTTGTTGCATTAAATGAGCATTTATTTCTGTTAATAGTCTAATAGTTTTGAATATAGGTCCAATATTTAATGTTTCCAATGCATTTGAGCATCAACATCCACTGTCGTTAAGAGCATTTCTACAAGTTTTGATTGTCAGATTGACTTAAAAATTTCACATGAGGATGTTCAAAAGTCCCTTCAGTAATTTTCATGCTTAATGACACAATACGGTATTTTCATATTTTATCCTTGTCACTCTACTCGAGCATCATCACCCCTCAAAGCAATGTAGCTGATGCTGTCTGATAATCGAAACCTATGTGTTTGTACTTGGAGCTGATCTTGCTTCTGTAGAGAAGTAACCAATTTTTGGAATTATAAGATAAGCATTTTTTATACTTTCTGATTATCCCCTCAACCCTCCTGCTTCTGTACAAAAGTAACCAATTTTTGGAATTTCTAAAAAAAAAAAAAAAAAAAAAAAAAAAAACTTTTTGATTATTTTTCCAACCCAGTTAAGGCAATTAATGTTTCACCCATCTGAGGCACAAAGGACAATAACCATTTTAAAAAATGCAGAACAGTAAGAATTACATAGAACAGCGAGCAATTAACAAAATTAAAAATATAAGAAACATCCACAATAAAACATTTACCTTTTCCCCCCTACACTTAACCCCACATATGCAGCGATTTGTTTTAGCTTAAAAAAAGTCAGAGAATTGCTGAATTTGGCATTATGCACAGCACTTCGCACATTGTTTTTTCACGTACTCAGCAATCTGTTTTCACTTCAAGAATATCAGAATAGCCCAAATTTGGCATTGCACACACTAATGTTTTCCCATGTACACATAAATGCGTTTTTGCTTGAAAACCTCAGAGAGAATTGTTCAGAATGTGGCATCAACATACAAATTCAATTGTTTACAAAGTGCAACTTTGTGGCTATAAATATTTTGCATTCTGCACTGCTAGGCAAAATACCATATTTTGGAAATGCTGGTGCATTTCAGAGCTGTTGATTCAGTTCTTTAAAATCCCAGCCAAGACCATTTATACTCCTCAGCCATGGAGATGAAAAAAACTGAGTGGTCAAAATACAGAAACAGTTCCATATGGCGATTCAGTTATCAGAGATTATTGAGACAGGAATATAAGATGTCGTTATGATTAATGGGAGTGGATATGTGGTGCACAATCACTTATTTTTTTCCTGTTTACTAAAATATATTGTTTACGAGCCTTGACTATTAATAAGAATTTCAAGGTTTAAATTATGTAGCTTAACAAGAAATTTTGCTTCCATCTGTATTCAAGAGATAGATAGTCAAATGCAGCATGTGCAGAAGAGGAAGCAAAAAGAAGAGAGGGCATTAACTAATAATCATATTTTAATATATTTATATATATTTATTTTCATATGCTTTTTTGTACTTCCTTGTACGACTCACAAAACTACAAAATTTAATTGCTAATCAATTGAAATATCGTGTAGCGAGGTATAAGAACACATGGCAAGATATCGAGGTTGGTTAGGGTTTCATCTTGGGTGCCGCTATAATAAGGATGCTTTCTTTATGTGCTTTTCTTTTACTCTTTTCCTTAGAAACACTATACATTAAATATTTACCCCTCTCAATTTTCAGGAGATAAAATTATAGAAAAAGAGAGTGAAACTGTGTTAATAACTATAATTGTTCCTTTCAAGTTATTTGAAAACTATAACCATTAAACACCTTTTTGATTTTAATGGATCAAAGGTTGTATTCCTTGTAATATAAATTAAAATAACTTTTTTATTGATTTACTTCAGTTGTGCTAGAATAATGATTTAAGCAGTAAAAAACATTTTTTTGTAGTTCATATTTAACATGATGAATTATCTTGCTCAGTAAAAAACATTATTTTGTAGTTCATATTTAACATGATGAATTATCTTGCTGAGAAGTAGCAGTATATCATATGTATTTTCTGCAGACATCAAAAACAGTCTTGTTGGTGTTAGTTTTTTATTTCTTATTTAATATCTAAGCTAATTTTTTCAAAAAAAAAAAAAAAAAAAAAAAAAAAAAAGATATACATAAGTTTAAACAATGTCAAATGTTTACTAGATTTTACAACTAATTTTAATTTTAATATCATTTGATCAAGAAAAATGTATGTTTCGAGAGAAATTTTATAGAAGCGAAAACTATATTATTCTGCATAAGTATTGTTTCTAGTACAGGAGAAGTCCAGTAATCCGCAAAGCTTGAGACCAGAGGTTGTACGGATTTTAGGATTTTGCGGATTTCAGGACAGAAAAGATAAAGCATAATATTCGGACTAAATGTGCAGAATAAATAAGGCGTATTAGATACATTTAATTAAATTATTATATACATTATTGCAATAATTTATTATATGCATTAAATTATTATTACATATGTAAGATGATTATATTATTCATTGTATTATATGTACACAGCATCGAGGTTTGCCGATTTTGCCTCATACAAAGATTTCCGGTTTCGGATTCCGGTGTTAGAATCACTGTTGCTGTAAAATTTCAACAGCTCTTCTTTATTTTTCCGTATATCATACACAATCGTGTCGCAATTCCATACCTTTCTGCTATAAATCGAGGAGTAGCACCTACCTCCATCTTTTGCAGAATATGCACGTTTTGCATTACCGTCAATGCAACGTGTTTACGTTTTTCAACATTGCAAGCAGTAAAATCACAAGTGCATTTCTTATCTGTCATTGTATTAAAAAGAGCTGAAATTTAAAATATTCTTAATATATCCACAAAATATCAGAATAAAAAAAGGCAGCACTAAACAATCTCGTAAAATAACAAAGCTCAGAAAATACAACAACTTCGTGAACTTTAATGAAGAGTTAAGTGAATCGTGTGCTTTTTTACCTCGATGCAAAGATTAGAGGCAAAAAAAACTTTTATCTTATTTTTTTATGTCAATAATTTGGTATTTCCGTATTGACTCATTATTATTTGGAAATTATGACGTCATTATTCGGTAAGTATTTTTTCATCGATATTTCGTACTCAATGTTGCGGTTTCTGGAACTTATAAACTGAATGTTTATATTTTCGGAGGCAACACAGATTTCATGTTGGCGGATTTTTCAGTATTTGACTGTAATAATTTTGTGTAATTAATATTATTAAAGACAAATGTGAATCTTCATAAATTGCTGAGCAATAAAACTCAAAAGGCTGCAGTAAAATCTTTTAATGATAATTTTGAGTATAGTAATTGATAAATTATTATACCTGGTTCTAAAATGTGTTCTCTTAGAATTTATTGCTGATACCATATGTCATAAAACTTATTAAAAATAATGCTGTGATTCTAAATTGTACAATGTTTTTATTAGATTAGCGAAAAAGCATTTGGATGATCACTCATTTTTAGGTGGATTACTACATGTATGTTACGCTCCAGAGTTTGAAACTGTATCAGAAACAAGACTGAAATTGCAAGAACGCCGGAAATATATAGCCTGGAAAACTAAGACAGGCAAGATTTTTTTATTCAGTTCATTTAAGGTGGATTATTATTATTATTATCATTTATATGAATATATTTTTTGTGCTTAACTGTTTATCTGAATGACAAATTGTTTCTATTAAGAGTTTCTGACAGTAAATTATTAAGTTATTTAGATTGGAAAATAACAAATTGACAGACCTAAACTGTAATCATAAAATCATCCTGAAGAACATTATTATGTGTGAACATTTTAATGCTAGTTATAACAATAGATTATGTTCTTTTGAAGTTTTGTGATGTTAAAAAAATTTGAACCATCAAAGTTAATACAATATATGTCAAATATATTTATGAATTATGTTTCTTATGTGCACTGGATTTTCCATCATTGTAATCCTGTATAAATAGCCCACAGAACCGTGTAAGCTAGTGTGTGTTATTGAGTGCAAAACTTGAGACTTTAGTCTCAAGTTTTTACAGGAGAATTGGACTTTACAGAAGAAAATTTGGTATGATTATGTTCATCATAAGAATTTAAGATTGATTTTATGTTTTATTAGATGGAAAATTTGAAGTAATGAAAGGAATTAATCTTTTAATTTGTTTATGAATAAGTTATATATTTCGGTGTACTTTTGTGTTATAGCAGCCTTGACGAGAAAAAGGAATTTGCACATTTCAGCTTTGCCAAGAAACGGACACTTGCCAATATACACAAGCAATTCATTCAATGTCTGTACTATGTAGCTGAGTACATCCTGATTTTCCACTCTTGCGACTTCAACATTTGATAGAGTAGCCATATTTTCGAGGCTACGCACTTTTATAGCCAGAGCATGCATGCTGATACCACAAATGTTTTAGAGTACATACAGATTCACACGCTTTGTATTTAATTGAACTAAAAACGCAAATATCAATTGTATAGAATTCTGCCTGATTAAATGTTTATGTTTGCTATTATTTATGAACGAAACTGTTCCTTTGATCCATAACAATAGCCAACTTGTAATTTTTCATCAGTTCACAAAATTTTCAATTAGTTAACAACTTTTCATGGCCACAGTTTATTAAATATACATATTTGAATAAGTTCAATATATATTTTTATTTATTACCTTATTTAGTACAGTTTTGTGAGCAATATATTTAAATATGCAACATACAGAAGCATACCAAAAATTCATTCTAAACAGATACTTTCTGGTGCCTTTGATCCATAACAATAGCCAACTTGTAATTTTTCATCAGTTCACAAAATTTTCAATGAGTTAACAACTTTTCATGGCCACAGTTTATTTAATATACATATTTGAATAAGTTCAATATATATTTTTATTTATTACCTTGTTTAGTACAGTTTTGTGAGCAATATATTTAAATACGCAACATACAGAAGCATACCAAAAATTCATTCTAAACAGATACTTTCTGGTGCCTCCAATTCAGTAGTTGCTGTTAATAATGCATCAAATACATTATTGTGCCTGAAATGAAGCCTGAACATAAACTCTTGTTGGCAGAAATATAGTTTTTGTCTGTGTAATGACATTCATTTGAGAACAAAAATGCCTGTGTATTTTTCCATGGAAATACTGCATCTTTCTGAAAAATATACGATTGCCATTACTTGGGTAGAAGTTATTGCATTGAAAAACTCACTTTCTGAGAGTTAATGATTGCATTATAAAATCTTCTTAGTTTAATATTTTATATTTAATATACTGTCATTATGCTTAGGGGGAAAATAATAGTTTGAAAAAAATGATTTTAGTGCATTTATTAGTTAAGACTAATTATTTTGTAAGTATTTTTATGTTAATGTTTCTATAGCAGGCTTTTGTTTTTAAAAATCTAGGAATGGAAATGATAATGTTTAAGGAGAAGCAGGTGTGGCTTACAGGTAGTTTTTCTCCTGGCTAAATGATATTCCTGCATGTCACTTTCAAATGCATGCTGTCTAAGGAGTCATATCATGGCCAATGAAAATGCATTGATTGGCTGTTGCGTTAAAAACTCAGTTATAAGAACTGAATTAAAAAGATGGAAATGGATTAATAAAAAAAAATTCCTTTTAAACTTAGCTTATTTATTAATTATTTACTCTAAACTTGAAAGAAAATTTAATGGAAAACAAGAATATCTCTTTAAAGCAATGTATTCATTTATATTTTGTTGTACCTTATATCAGATGTTGAAAATGAAGTCTTTTTTAATATATTTATAAGATATCGTTTCATAAAGCAAATAGTAATATAATTTTATGACTTGTAGATAGATTGATCTAAAAAATATTGAATGAACAAAAATGAATGTGTGACTTCAAATATATATATTTATATGATGAATATTTTAATGCATACAATTGTTATGTAATTTGACTCTTCTTTTAGTAGGAAGGCAAGGGCAATCATCAGCATCTCAGCCTATGACAAACAGGAATCAAAATACCAAAAAAATTGCTGGAAAACAGACAGGGTCAGGACCATGTAACAATATAGAACCAGTTACGTATATTTGGGCTGGAAAAGAATATACTGTGTTTCCACAGTGCACTCAGAACAAGGAGAAGATGCAGGATATTGTAGGTCAAAAATTGGAGAGTCCATCTGGCTTGTTTGTACCACGCCAGTTGAAAGACAAATTAACTGGTGAACAAAATATTATTAACATTAATAATACTACAAATCAGGCAACACAATCATTTTCTTTGCCGTATGTGGATGATTCATCATATTTAAATACTGTGTCTCATGTAAGAGAAAAGATTTCAAATGTAAGTATGACAAGATATTATTTCATTAATAAAAATCTGGCATAATATTTAAATTATTTTATTTTAACAATTAGAAATTACTGTTTTATGAAACTATAAATATTTTTAAATTTGCTGTTTTTCCCAAATCATCATGTAGTTCTCAGATTTATGTTGAATAAACTAATGCTAGTTTAACATATATGCTTACTAACTGTAATGATTTACAGATCTTTTGATTAAAATTAAACCAAATGAGCAGCTATTTTAATTATCTTGTTATGACCTATTTTATCTGATCAAGAAATATGTTGTATATATTATATAAAAATATTTTGCTCTAATATTTTGTAGAAAGCAAAAATTAAGTTAGGTATTGTACAAATGTAGCCAGATTTTGCTGCATAAATATTTCTTGAGTATATCTACAAAGTTTTAGCACTCAGAAATTTAAATTAAAGTTATCTGTTTTATATTTTGTGTTTGTATAGTTCTCTTTGATGTAATTGTATGGATCCAAGTTAGTTTATTTATTTTATTTTTAAAAGTGAAAATCTGTACACAGATATCTGCTTATTCATTAAACAACATAAAGTGAATTATTTAAAAAAGGGGGAAGAAGAAGAAATTGCTTTTATTTATAACGCAACTATACCATTGCTTTTATTTATACATATACTAATACTCATCAACAACTATTTATACTTCAAGCAGTATGGTTAGCTGTAGTAATTATCTACAGCTAACCACATTACTTGAGATATAAATAGTTGTACTAATTATTTTTTCTCTTATTAGAAAACTGCATTTTTCAGAAATACTTTTTCAGTGCAATATGTTTTGTAATTGAAAGAGATTTGTATAGATATCTGAGGAAAAGGTAGTTATGTGACAGTTTGATTTATATGAACTATTTTAAATTGTTCTAAATATCAGAAATGCATCAAATTTAAATTTAATAGCAGCGAACTACTAGAGTGTTTATCATTATCCACTCAGAAAACTTTCCTCACATTAAATCTGCTTCTAAACAGCCAAATGTTTTTTAAAATGTAAATAAAATGTTGCATGTGAAACAAAAATTCAGTTTCTAACTTTGTTGCATTAGTAGAAATACTGGATATTTATGATGAGTGTACACATGTAAATATTATTATTATGGTAGGGGTAAATGTTAAAAATCCTTGGGTTTGGGGTTTTTCTTCAGAACAGCAAATTGTATATTCTCATTATTTATTGAAATTCTTTTATTTGAATTTGTAATATTTTATTTGCATTTTCTTATCTTTAGGTTTCTGTCCCTAATGTGAGGGTCAGCTTGAAAAGGAAGAGAAGACTTTGACAGTGGTAGATTTCTTAATCATAAGATGAACAATGCGTCCAAATTGTTATTTTAACAAAGATTTTGTATATGTGCTTTGTACAGTTATGTAATGTATGTTATCTAAGTTTCTTAATCATAAGGTGAACAATGTATCTCCAGTAATTTTTTCTTAAGCAATTAAAAACTTTTTTAAATGTATGCTTATTGTGTATATTTTATTTTAACCTATTCTGTTCAGTATGTATATGAATTATTTATTTATTACTGTGTGATGTTTATTATTTCAAAAATGTGTTTAATAAATAGTTAACATACATTTTATGAATTAGTTGTGTTTTTTCTTGTATGAATAATTTAATCTTTCAATTTTATGTTGAAATATGTTTAAAAGTAGATTATGGTAGTTTTACTATTTTAGCTAGACTAGTTTTAAATAGTTTGTTCATAAGCATATATATGGTAGCATTATTTTAAGTATTTATTTTAATATTTGTAATTTTTATACATATATTGTTGCAAATGAATTTTTGCCATCTTTTTTATTTTAGCACCTGTTTTTAGATTAAATATTTTACATTCGTAGATCCATTTCATGTTCTTGGTGTGAGCAAGGTTATTGAAAATATTTCAAGCATTGCCATGACAGAATACAAGTAAGGCTTTTTGAAAAAATCATGTAATTATGCATATTTAAATTTTATGTAATCTAAACTCATGAAGTATAATATTAGACTGTATTTATAATAGAATTCTGTAGTTATTGATAAAAGTCCCAAACATGTGAAATCAACCAGCAGCTGAAAATAATACAAATCCTTGGAAACATGCCATTTTATAAAAAAAAAACAAAATAGTTCACATTCCATATTCCATCATATTATGTGTGTGTGAATAACATGAAATATTATTGACAGTTACTTCTCCTTTCCAAAATTAGTGAAATTTTTTGTAAGTTGAAATAATGTAAAATTGAGAAGAAAATATCATTAACTTTGTATGAAAGAAATTAGTATCACAGGCTGCAAAATTAACTAACTAAATTGAGACAAACAGACTTAAAAATCTACAGCTGAACTTTCAAATGCTTTCGAATTGCACAGCGAGTGTATCAGTTCGAAATCCATGTATTTTGATGCATCCAAAATTTAAGTTTGCTATTGAAAGCATCCGTACTGTAACAAACAGCAAATGAATATACATTATAGATATTTATATGTATCATCTGTTGCATTCCTACAATAAAGAAAAATAGCTGGGTGGGCTGTGTTAACCATGAGGCTGCTTATTTTTGGCTAGTAGAGTTGTGGCACCCTCGTTTATTACATTATATTACACCAGAGTTTCTTAAATTGGGGTTGCGGGACCTGCAGCAGGGGTTCCAAAAATTTTAGCAGTTTTGATATTTCTTTAACTTATTATAATTTTACAATTACCAAATACTTTTACAAAATGTATCTGGAAATAAAGATAAGACAATTCAGGCAAAAATTAAAAAAAAAAAAAAAAAGAAAAGAAAAGAAAACGCCTCAATGCATTCTTCTTATAATATAAACATTCATTTTATTTGCTTTTCACATGACGCTATCATTTCGTCTGTTACTTATTTAAAATTTTCACATTGTTCTATGTCTTAAAATTAGAAATTAAAGTTAATAACCTAAAACTGCAATAGTGTATTACAATACAATAGTATATTAGAATAGCAGTATATTACAATACTAAAGTACAAAGTCTTTAATCCGGACATCCATAATCCGAAATGATCTATAATTCAGACCTCAAAGCTACAAACCTTCTGCGCATGCACATATGCGCTTATGCATGCGCATAATATCTTTAGGCATGCGCATTTAATGTATAACGGATGGTATAAGCTAGGCTAAGATTATCTAATTATCTATTCCAGTTAATGTTCCAGATTGCTTTGTCCCTTAATCTTTTAATTGGATTCAGTTTATTATTTTTTGCAGACTGTTAGAGCAATTTTATAAAAAGTAAGCTTGAACTTTCGATTATGTCAAAAAGAGTTTCCGATTCTGGAGCTGCCAAAGGATCTACAAAGCGAAAGCATGTTTCGATGTCCATCAAACAAAAAAGTGGAATTGCTGCAAAAAATGGATAAATGCATGAAGAAAGTGACAGAGAGGCTAGTGAAAATGAAAAAATTTCGATTGACAAGTTAGTCGGTATTCTCGGCACAGCAATTACAGGACTTGAACAGTGGAACTTTGTAACTGAACAAGAAATTATGTTTGTTTATAGAATTAAAGAGAAAGTATTAGCACAATTTGGGGTTTGATTAAAGGCTCTAGACACCCAGTTTAGAAAAATAAATTCTTTTAATTAATCAAAATATGTACATGGCAATAAATAACAGGAATCTCAGCAATGAGTAAAACGCATACATGAACTTGTAAAAACAGAAGGCAAAAGTTCTCTTTTGCAGTCGCGCAGAGATGATATTCTTATCGTGCATGCGCGAAAAGGAAAACTCGAAGCACCGAAGAAATGTGTTTGGGACAACATAAAATGAACCAACTTAAAACAACTTGCATTGAAAGAAATGTTTAATAAAGTAAAAAAATAAATATTAAGTTTTTTTTTTTTTTTGTAAATTTTTATACCCCTTGATATCATAATTGCTCTTTATTTCATAAATTACGGTTTTATATTTTTAATTTTATAATTTCTGCATGCCATCTTACCAAATTTAAATTGATGATCTATAATCCAGAAAAACCCCTAATCCGGAACCGCCGAAGTCCCGATGAGTCCGGAAGACTTTGTTCTGTATATTATAGTACAAGTAATATAGTATATTACATTTACAAATTGACAGTTTCACTCACACATGTATCACTCACGTGCAATGATTAAGGGGTCCCACAAAATTTTCGTAAATATAAGGGTCCTGAAGTCGTGAAGAAATGTTGTGTTGAAAATGTGTTGAAAAGGGTTGCGACTGAAAAAAAGTTTCAGAAGCACTGCATTACATAAAAGGAAAATTAAGAAAACAATTTTCTGAGAGAGAGAATCATGAGAAAATGCTTCTTATACATATATACTTATATTATATTCATTGATGCCATAAATTAAATTTATTTGTCTATAGGATGAATTGTGGATAGCACCTACATTAATGTTGTCTTATAAGCCATAAAACTTTGTAAATATTATACAGTTAAAAGTCTTTAATCTGGAATCGTCGGGACTTCGGTGATTCCGGATTATAGAACATCAGTTTAAATCTGGTAAGATGGCATGCAGAAATTATAAAATTAAAAATATGAAACCGTAATTTATGAAGTAAAGAGCAATTGTAATCCAAAGGGTATCAAAATTACAAAAAAAAAAGCTTAATATTTATTTGTTTACTTTATTAAAAATTTCTTTCAACGTGCGCATGCATAAAGCATACATTAGCATAGTCGAAATTAGAAAAATTGCAACCAGAAAACTATTTGATGTGTATTCGTGATATTTATAATGACGAGGAATTTGATTTAAATCATATCAAAGACGGAGTACATCGAGATGAAATACTACATTTAGTAAGGAATTATAAGCTGAATAAAATAAAAACATCTGCCCTGAAGATAAGGATAGTGCTGACAGATCAACTTCCAGTTCATTGAGTTGCCGCACGTCCCCCCCCCCGCAGAGCACGTGAAATTGATAAACAGATTTCGGAATGGTTAGATAAACAAAGGATATGCCTTTATCTATTTTTTGCAGCAATTCCACTTTTTGTGTGATGGACATTGAAACATGCTTTTGCTTTGTAGATCCTTTGGCATTTCCAGAATCAGAAATTCTTTTTAACATAATCGAAAGTTCAAGCTTACTTTTATAAAATTGCTCTAACAGTCTGCAAAAAATAATACGCTGAATCCAATTAGAAGATTAAGGAACAATGCAATCCGTAACATTAACTGAAATAGATAATTTTAGCTTAGCTTATGCCGTCCGTTATACATTAAATGCGCATGCGTAAAGGTATTACACGCATGCGCAGAAAGTTTGTAGCTTTGAGGTCCGGATTATAGATCATTCCGGATTATGGACGTCCGGATTAAAGACTTTTGACTGCATATACTTAATATTAAGCATGAAAAAGGAAATTTTTGAAAAATCTGCAATATGTTAAGCAATTAGATTCCCCCTCCCAGATAGCACAACTTTTCTTCCTTTTTTTTTTAGAACAATGTTAGCATTACTAAACATATATCCCATATGCAAATTATTATGTTTTTTAAGGTTTGTAATAAATAATACTAAACTTGGTTTAATGCAAACCAATAACTGCAGAAAATCATGCTTTAATAAATTGTTCAGATGACAAGCATGATATGACTATTTTAACTGGATGCTTTAGTATAGCCAACTTTATCTTTTAGCAGCAGAAGGTGGGTGCCTAATTATTTCAGTAGCATAACACAACATAATATTGTTAAGTTTTGGATTTATTTTTATTTGTTTACATTTTAGTCCCTGTCATCTATTCATGAGATCACCATGTTAATCTAAGTGCGTTGGCATATTTTAACGATTTACATAAAATTTATATTATTTATGGCAACAAATAATAAAATAGATTGGTATTGATATAATATTTATGTACTAATTTTAGTGATGCACCTAATTTTTGAAAGCTTATATATATACACCTTGTGTGTGACATATCACATGCACAAGGTATCCAAAGACGTTCATGCCATTGGGAGCAAGAAGTGAAATTCAAAAGGCAGGGGTTGGGATGACATCAGATGTTGACAATCCTGTCACCCGTCAGTTAGTGCAAACATATGAGACACTTCAGTTGTGTCAAAAGCAGTTCTGTAGGAATTACAATCCTGAAGTGAACATGTCAATGTCAAAGAATGTTTTACATCATGTTTACTTTATGAGCTCAAATTGGGCTGTGATGCTGCAGAAATTGCTTGAAAAGTATGCTCAGCATTTGAAGAGGCATCAGTGAGTAAGTGCACAGACGAAAAGAGGTTCAGTCGATTTGTATCTGGAGTTCTTGAGATGGGCATTCATCTACTGTTAACAAAGCCCTCCTGAAGGAGAACATTGAACAGAATCCACCTTGAATGTGCAAGGAAGTTTGATTGCATCTGTAGAACCTTAGCAAGATATGGAAGCTGATTAAATGGGTTCTTCACTTTTTGACTTGGGAAACAAAACTCGGCAGCTCGCCATATGTTTTTCATTGCTGTAACACTACAAGAAAGCCCCAATCGTGGACCAAATTTTGACAAGAATTTGGTGAGAAATGAACGTTATACTGTAACTGCAAATGAAAACATCATTGGCTGTTCCCTAGTTCTATGCATTTGACCCCAAATAAAAACTCATCAACAGAAGGTATTGCTCTGTCTTTGGTGAGCCAATACTGGCATTGTGCACTTTGAATCGCTAGAGAGTGGCAAAATCATCTCAGCTGAGGTGTACTTATTCCAGTTGCAAAGAGTTTCAGCTGCATTGTGTCCAAAGCAGGCAGTTGTAGCCAACAGGAAAGGGGTGATTATTCTTCAAGGCAGTGCCAGACCTCATATAAAGCAAAAGTGACCAAGAAGATGATCAACACACTTGATTAAGAAGTTGTACGTCATTCTCCTTACTCCCTGGGGAAGGAACACCAGCAGCCGAGTCGTAAAATCACTGAACGATGGTA